CGGGGGCGGCGGCGCGGGCGGCGGCTTCCTCCTCCTCCTTCTCCCGAGTTCCTGTCGGCTCCCTCCCCAAGCCCCTGTCCTGCGAATCTCCTCACCGCCCTCCCGAGTCCCGATCCTCCAGGCAGTCCCCCGCCCTCCATGCCGCGGGCTCCCCTCCGCTCAGCTCAGCGTCGTGGTCCCCTCAGTCCCCTCCCTCCATGTCTCCCTGTCCCTTCCGCCCGTCCCCCGTCGGCCTCGGCTGTCCCCGGCACAGGCCCGAGGGAGTGCCGGCTCTTCCGGTGTGTCCGGGTTCCGCGTTTCTAAGGAACCCCAGGCCGGCGGGGAGCCACGGCCTGGAGAGGGTGTCCCGCGGGGGGTACACACAGTAGGCTCTCTTGCGCACAGTAGGCCTCGGGCAGCATTTCTCTCGGCCGTTTCTGCCTCCCTGGCTGAATTCGTTTGCGATAACTGGGGCCGATTTCTTCTTCGGGAAGGAGAAGTGCACAGTTTTACAGCGGGCGAAGTGATGGGGAAAATGTCACCCACACCGTCGCCTCCCCTCAGCCTGGCGCTTAGTGGGGGCCCCTCCTCCAGCGCGAGGAGGAGGAAACAGGCATCCATTGCCACCACGTTCTTTTGAGATGGGATGGGGGTCATCGGGTTGAGAGGCGCAGAGCTCAGCTGTGAAAACCAGGGTTTAGTCTCAGTCTTGGGAACTACCTGCCCCGGAGTCCCAGCGTTTGTGGTCCCGAAGCAGCCCCGGGCAGTTTGTGCAGTCAAGCTGGCTGGGAAAGGACCCTGCTTGGGCGCTGGGAAGGCGGTGCCTGTCTGGGACGCAATGGAAGGTGAATCGCCCCAACTTCTATTATGTTTACATAGCCGGTTGCTGCTTAGTGACTCAGGGTTTGACTGTCCTTGGGGATGAGTGCATCGAGGTTCAAGAGCTATCATCAGGGAGCCCAGGTGTGGACGCCCACGGTCACATCGGGTCTGGACCTACAAAGGGCTATGCTAAGATGGGTGAGGAGCTGGCATCAGTGCGAGCTTGGGCACAGGACACCCAAACTAGAAGTTACTATAGAGTCAACAGGCGTGTCGATAGGTCAATATGAACACTGTTTATGCACTACAGCCAAAGATTTCACAGATTTCATACACTGTTATTTTAATGGACTGCTTGGAGCAATGGTGGCTGTATAGTAATGGTAGCAGGTATCTGGATAAGATTAACTGCCCAGACTGCTCATCGATGACTGATAGCTCACTCCTTCGGCCTTGGCCGTATTTTCATAGGAGTGAATGTGTGTGTGTGGTGTGTGTGTGCGCCTGTGTTTTTGGTGTTTGGTTTTGATAACATGTTTTGTGCTAATATTAATGTAAGGTGCAGTGTGAAGAGGATTAGAGAGAAAGAATGTGAAATTCCATTTATGACAAGACTGAGAGTTCGTTCCTCTCCCGGCACTACATTTCACCAGATGGTAGCACTGTCCACAAAGGACCGTATCCAAGACTAATTCTGCTTCTCTTGTTTCCCAAGACATTTCATAACTAAGTCTCTTTAAAATTTTTAGTTGCATTCCTTTTTATTGTGTGTGATTGTTGACAAGTGCTTCTTCTTCTTCTTCTTCTTCTTCTTCTTCTTCTTCTTCTTCTTCT